GAAATATGTCTTGTCCCTACCAGGGCCGCCTTCTGTCTGTCACAAGGTGGCATCTCATCACCTATTCTCAGCATTCTTCATAGCCCATGTTCTAGTAAGAAGACTGGTTCTCTTTACCTCAGCTTTTCTACTTAGGATGACAATAACCCTGAAGTGGCACATGACTGATACTGTGGTTACCTGTTTGACCTTTCCTAATCACTCACCAGTGTCTGTGTGTCTGTAGAGCCATTCCTCAGTTACAGCCTCTTATCCAGTCTGATTCTGAACAGGAACACCACCAAGGTGGGATTTTTTTCAGTTAAATGAGGAATTCTGCAAGTTTCAAAGGAGATACAAAGAACTCTGTTATAAAAATACATTTTGGTCTCAAGGGAACATTTAGCCAGTATCGACTAGAAACACTTCCTTCATTAAATGTTTATTAGCTTGGAGCTCATATATAATCTTCAACTTTAAAAAGTATATTTGATAAACTCTTAGTTTTTAATGTTTAAAAAAAACAAACAAAACTATAAGGTTCTGCACAGAACAAAACTTAGTTTTGTACAAGTAAAGTTGGCAAAAGGGAAGAGGTAAGCAGAATGGCTGAGAAAACATCCCTCAGAGATGAGCAACTGGTATCCTGCAATATTAGTGCTTGGAAGGGTATTCTTAGTCTCAATAAAGCAGGTATTACTTTTTTTTTCCTTTCCTTCTGTAGGAAATGTGGATTTAAGATGTAAATAGCAAGATTTTCAATAGTATAAATAATACTCAAGAGTCTTACTGGCATTTCATAACACTACTGTTCCTCTTCAGAGAAATAAATGATTGCAAACTAAAACCTTCATCGAAATTCTGTATGAGAAATAACTCTGAAAGAGTACTGTGAAAATTAGAAAGCAAAGGATACCAAGTGTTTACTTGAGCAAATATTAATAATCTGAAAATCTGAAATGTGGTTGGATTTGTCAGATATACTTAGACAAGTAGAGACATCCTGTTCAAATACTGATAGCTGTGACAACAAAAAAATTAATATTGAAAATCTTGAGTCCTCTTAAGAGGCCATTCTGCATGGGTAATACTGAATTATATTTGCTATGAGTTTGCTGAGTTTGAACATGGTAAGAATGAACATGAGACCTTGTTACAGATAAGGGCCATCTGACATATAGGGAAAGGCTGGAATGTCTGGAGCTGTTCAGCCTTAAGGAGACCAGTCACAGGGGCATCTTATCAATGTTTAAAAACACCTGATGAGCTAAGGCAGACTCTTCTCAGCAGTGTCTAGTGACAGGACATGAGGCAAATCAAAACACATGAGATTCCATCTGATCACAAGATGAAACATGAAAACACTTTGTCTACTGTGAGAAGGGTCAAACACTGGAATGAGTTGTGCAGGAAGGTTGTAGAGATGTCAAAACCCACCCAATTGGACACTGTCTTGGACAGGCTGCTCTGGCTGACTCAGCTTGAGCAGAGGGAGATTGGGCTAATTGACCTCAAGGGGTGCCTTCCAATCCAACCAGTTCTGTGTGATTATTCTGACATGGGCAACTCTTTCCTGTCTGGGCATTTGAAATTTTGTTATACAAAGTCATTGGGGCAGTCTTGGCTATTTTGAAGCGAGGAAACATTTTGAAGAGGATGTTTATCCTGATGTGTTGGTACTCTGTGGTCATCTGGTTAAGTGTACTTCTTTTCCTTTTACATTGGTGAGTCACACCAGGTGTCTGAAAGCATCCAGGTACTCAGATATCACACAGGATCTGCTTTGATCAGAATTTGAAATCTGTGATGCAGATAAGGAACTGAGAAATAACGGGTGCTTGAGATTTTTTTAAAGGACTTCAGCAGTTTTGAATTTTCCTAAAATACAATTATTTCTAGTAGAAATTTCCTGTAAACTAACAATTTTTAATATATATGTGTGCATACATATGCCTATGTTTATACATGCATATATATGTGTAAATGAAGACATACATGTCTATAAAAAAGGAAATACTTGAAAAAGCAGCCATGTGGAGTCCTGCCTGCAGTATTTTATCCTGCAGGAGCAACCCTACCATGTTGCTGGAGTCTTTCTCAGATTTATTTTTACAGACTGAAGTTCTTAGCTTCAGATCAATTCTGTGAAAGCCACATCTGTGGTCTGATCACAGTGCACCCTTTCACATCACCAAGGGGAAATTTAGGGAGGCACCTCCAAATTCTGCCAGGGTGATTATTGTCACTTATTTCCCTCCAAACACATACATGTATGCATACAAATGCTTCCTTGAAGATTTGCTGTAACTTTTGATCTTTTTGCTTGCATATTCAAACATCCTGAACATGTTCAGGTGTGAATAGCCAGGGGTAAGCAAAACTATTTAGCCTTGCGGATATCAGGTTAATAGAAAATCCCACTGTGCAAAGTTTTTAAAAACCTCATAGTTTTTAAAGTCTGTGTTGCAGCAGGGACTCTGTAAGGCCTTTACCATTCATATCTATGTTTCTGTTGTTAGGTGGTGAATTAACTCTATAAAATACCTTCAGTAGGTTTAATTAGTCTAAATCATAGGAGAAAAAAGTTTGTGGATGAAAATATGTAACCTTCCTTTTATTGCTTTACATTTTCTGAACTATTTAGAATTTATTTTCTAAAAATTGAGTAGCTCAGTGTAGATCCCAGCTGTAGTTCCCACCAGCTCTTTTCAATGGTGTCTTCCATTCTTCAGTTAAAGAATATTAAAGGAACATAATTCTCCATGATCAGAAAAGAAAAAATAAAGGATGGTTAGCTTATTTTGGAAACCTCACTGTCACAGGTTCCTAATCCTAGTTCCTCTTTTCATTTGCAGGACTCTGAGGAGGAAGACAGTGAGTTGGAGGCCATCAATAAGAAGCTGATAAGTCCACAAAGTTTTCAAAATTTCCGGCCTTATGTACCAGAGGAGTTTGCTGACTTCAGTATTTACAATGCTAGCCTGGAGAACAGGGAGTGGTTTTCCTCTAAATCAGACTTTATGAGCTCACGTGTTCTTGAGAAAGAGGTGTCCCGCAGCCCCACCACTAGCAGCATCACTAGTGGCTACTTTTCCCACAGTGCCTCTAATGCCACCCTGTCTGACATGCTTGTTCCCTGTAGTGATAGCACAGACCAGCTAGCCAGTCACACCAAGGAGCTGGACTCCAGCGATCCCTCGGGATCATCCCTTGCACATGATTTAAGATCTTCTTTGAACAAGGAATGTCGAGAGTCAGAAAAGGAGTTAGCGAGAGAGAAGTTACCTGTGGTGCCACTGAAAGAAAACAGTGCCTTAACAGAGCAAGTACCACTGTCATTCAGTGCCACTGACAGAGACTCTCAGCAGTTACCCGGAGCTGGATCCTTCTCAGCTCTAAGTTCCTTGGATGGCAAAAACACCATCGAATTTTCAGCGCGCGAGGTGACGGTTGAGCACACGACGGACATTGTGGAAGATCACTCCTTTACTGAGTTCATGGGCGTTGAAGATGGGAAGGACTTCGACCATTCAACAGCTCCACAGTCGTGTTCCCTTCTGTCCTCTAACGGAGAGAGCGCCTTGGAGTCACCCCGAGGCCCTGGCAAGGGGCAGAGCCCGTGCACGGGCCAGCAGAGCTCTGCAGCAGCAGCAGCAGGTGACGCCTGGCTTGCGGATGCTGTGGAAAGCCCTTTTTGTTCTGGACTGGTGAAAGACGCTTCAGACCCTGAGACTTATCCTGATGCTTCCATGGACGACTTTATTACGAAGGACCACTTGGATGGTTCTGATTGTGAAGAAAGTGCTTCTGCAGATCAAGCCCACGTCTTACCAAGCTGGGTGGCCGTGGGCGAACAAGTCTGTGTTGGAAGTAATAAGATGGGCACAGTGAGATATGTTGGAACGGTGGATTTTTCATCTGGAATCTGGGTTGGAGTTGAACTCAATGTTCAGCTGGGTAAGACTAAATGTGTTCTGGGTTATCTGTGCAACTAGTGTGACCAATTTTTAAAGTCACAGTATCATCATTCCTTCCAGTTCAGTCCTGGGAAGTACCTCTGGTTTCATGAAGCTTGATATCTGGTACACCCAGTTCTTGGCTTTCTGGTGATAGGGATGCTCTGATCCATTTTTAACTGTCTGAAAGCCCTGCTTTTGCATGTTGTGGTAGTTCCCCATTGGTACCCATCTGTTTTTACTGATCAGAGAAACAAGGAAAGCCTAAAATTGGCAGATCTTTTTTAAATCAGTGTGCACACATTCATGAACAGTACTAACAGTGTGCATCACTTGTCAGATGGGTTTGCTGTCAGTGGGTTTTTGAGATTTATTGTTTTCCACTGGGGAAAGATGAATTCCAAAGCACAGGTTTTACGTAACTTCAGAGGGGTCAGAAAAAGTCAGTGCTCTGCAAGTGTTAAGAAACTTCTATAGAAGTGAATTCTATAGAAATGAATATAGAAATATATTTCTATAGAATATAGAAATCATTTAAAAATATGTTTTTTGTAGTTTAATAGGTAATATCACTTATGCCAGAAGTTTGTCTCCAGATAAATTTTAAGCTTTGCAAGCAGTTGGTTTTGAGGACAGTTTATTTTGCAAAATGAACACATGCTTGGCTTTCTAAACTGTTAGTTAACAAAGCAGTATTTTAGAAAATAATCTTTTTGGTCACATTTCAAGCCCTCCTTTCCAAGTTTTGCTCTCCCTAGTGTATGGTGAGCATCTGGCTCTGTCACTCAGCAGGAACAATCTTGGCTATTTGACAGATAACCAAAACTATTTACACTTCAGTGCCTCAATTGTATGTGCTAATGGCAGCACCAGCATTTAATCCTGTGCATTTTTTTCCATTGAAGGGAAGCACGATGGAATTGTGAAAGGCAGAGAGTACTTCCACTGCAAACCACGACACGGCATTTTCGTTCGTCCTGGGCGCCTCAGCAAAGCACCAGCCCCCACGAGGAAATGGAGTAGCACTTCCCGGTCTCAGGCATCTTCCACCTCAGAGAAACGGAAGAGTTCTGTGCTTCAAGGCTCACCAGCCACTCCCAAGACAGGAGGAGATGTCCTCTGCCATTCAGGAGATGCAGCAGCTTCTGCTTTTTCTAGGAAACAGGAAAACAGGAAATCTTGGATTAACTAAACCGCAGTATTTTTGCACTTACTACACGCATCACTGTGTAGAAAACTTTATGGATTTTTGAAGCTATTGTACATTTTAACCTGTCCATACGGAATGTGTATTCTCTAGAGTCCTTGACTTAATTATCTAATTTTTTTATAAATAATATATATATTATATATATATGAATGTGTATCTATAGTTTGTCTGCCAGTGAGCAGATATGGCTGCACACTAAAACACAGTTAAAGCTGATTGTAGATAACTGAGGTACTGGACTATTTGTTACGCAAACAACTTTGGGAGATATATTTTAAACAACAAAAGATATTTTATTGAGGAAAAAACAGGATGTAAATCCGTATTTGGTAAAAAAAACCCAACCGCTGCGGTTTGCTGTTCTTAATTACCAAAGAACTTGTTTTAGACTGACATATTTGCTGTTTATATCTTTCTATTGTAAATGTTTTAACTGGTAACTTGGTGCCATGTTTCTTTCAGTCACTGGGCACCGTGCAGCCTTCTGTGTTTAAGCACACTGAAATATCCAACTGCTTCGTATGTTTTGTCTTCCTAGAGGCCTGCCACTGTGCTGACTTGGCATTGGAATGACTGAGGATGCCTGAAACTATGAGTCTGGCATTTCACATGTTAGCAAAAGCCAGCCGGGCAGTTTGACTGCAGAAACAGTATTACTGCAAGGGTGTGAGAGGACAACATTCTGGGATTTTTAGGGGGGTTTGGGTTCTTTGGGTGTGGGGTGGGGAGAAATGGGAAATAAAGAAGCAGTAAATGGATCATGACTGCAAACTTTGCACTTGTTACTTGCTGGTTTATTATCAAGATGAAATAGAACCTGCTAAAGTAATTTTAATCTGTAAAGTTTATTTTAATAATGGGAATGATGGAGGGATTTATGTCTGGTGCTCATGAATTCCTAAGAAGGTTGTTCCACATGTAGATACTGTAGATGCCTGTACAAGTGTTCTGGATATTTGTAAAGCAACATGGTAAAAAATGAGTGAAGTGAATGGCCTGCTGTATCTTTTCTTTGTTCCTTAGCAAGTGAATGATTGAGATACCTGGGACCTTACTGAAAAGCTGCTGTTCTTTCTTTGATTGTTGTGTACAGTAAGCGGACTCTTGTCTTTTACTATTTACTGTAAAGAACTGTAATTTATATACTGCCATACTGTATTTAATTGGTGCAGACCTATTGTGTGTTAGAATACAGACTAAGACTGGATGGCATGAACCCATCTTACCACTGAGCCTCAGAGGAGAATAGCAGCCCCTGTGGATACACATTCCTCACCTTCTGCTTTCCTTGTCCCTCCCAGGAGAGGGAGCAGAGCTGGGGAACTCCTGCCAGAAAACAGAACCATGTGGGTCAAGGGGAGATGGGACAAGTTCCCAGAAGACAGACAAGAGAGTATCGTTGCTAAATAAATGAAGGCCTCAGCTGCCTGCAGCACAGTTGGCAGCTGGGAAGGCAGTGTGCTGGAGGAGGTAGTGAAAGGAGGGGGCTGTGAAGTGCAGTGCACTCACCCTTGCCATGGCTTTTGTCTCTTCTAAGACAGGATTCTTACACACCCTTGCCATGGCTTTTGTCTCTTCTAAGACAGGATTCTTACACGTTAATTGATTTTGATGAAATGTGAATCTTTGCAGAACAGTTCATGCTTCTCGTGTCCACCTAGAGTTGTTGTCACTGCATTAATGACGCTGCTGCTGGAGGAAACTTCTGTAAAAGAAAAAGATTTTATGCAGAATTATTTTTATCAGGCACAGATTATTGTGGGACACTGCCAGGTATCAACACCAAACACCACACTGCCAGGTATCAACACCAAACACCCCAGTGTCTTGAAGTTAAGTTTAGATTTTAATCCTTTTATAAACCTTTTGGGAAATCTACTTACACACTGGCATTAATATATTTGTCTAGGGCCACTACAAACAATTTTGGAAATCAATGTGGCCATTTTCTTACGGCACTCATTCAATAGTTACACCAGGCTAGCATCAGCCAGCATCAGCTGGGCTCTTCATTGTTTCAGACTGCTGAGAATACAGAATGCATGACTGATTCCTTCAGAAACACTGGGATAATTGTGCTCTTGGAGTAGGCAACCTGTACATGCCACAGAGACCAAAGCAAGCCAACCTTGTGTCCTTCTGTACCCATTTACCATACATAACCTATGCCATTGTGGGTTCTGTTGTTATTAAAAGACCTTTACTTTAGCAAACCTTGCATGTTAACATGCCTTGCCCTGGGTTGATGTAAAGTTAGGAGGAGCACAGCTAACGAGTGCAACAGTGTGATAGGAAAGTGAAAGCTCTTTGGTTGATGTGCTACTCAAAACTCTAGTACATAAACTGGACCTTTTTTTCCCTGTTAGCAGTGTTGGACTAGGATTTTGCTGTCTTGAACTTTGGATTCAAAGTGGAAGAAAATAGTGGTTATAGTGCAACTGTGAATTGCTTTTTTTTTTTTCTTTTTAATATTAACTAGCAGCTAAAATACACTGCATAAAATAACAAGCACAGTTTGTAGCAAGATCTCAGTTTAAAAAAAAAAACAGGCACTAATCATGATACTGAATAACATTTTGCAGAGCCAGTCTCTCATTCAACAATCCTGCCATCCTGTTTGTTTTCCCAGTCTGCACAGAATTAATGATTTTGACCATCAGGATCGTTAGAATGCTGAGTTAAGATCACACTGGCCTTCACCTTGTTTTCTGAGTTTATGATGTGCTGTTTTTACGAGCACGCATGCCTTTATTGGAGACACGGAGTGCTCGGGGAACAGCTGTCACAGCCCAGCAAGCACCAGCACAAGCGTTGAGTCAGTTCCACTCGCTGTGTCAACATTCCGCCACCAAAGGCTTCCTTCGAGTTTGCAGCTGGATGCAGAGTCCGGAGTGCTGGTACTGTGTACACACTAGCGAGTGCCACGGAGCAGGGCGCTGAGGGAAAGCTGGGCTGCCAGCCCCTGGGAGCAGCCTGTGGCTGTTCCCTCAGGTCAGCTCGCTCGGGTAACTCCTCCTGTGCCAACAGGGCCGGGAGACAGGAGCCGCCCCCGGCGCTCGACAAGGCTGCTGGTGGGATTTGCTTTCAGCCTCTCCCCGCTTTGGGTACAAGTTTTGGGGTCTTCTTCATCTGCTTAGCTGGGAATTTACAGAATCCAAAGGGACGGAGGAAAACGTGTCAAAATCTCTTGACTGAAATGGACCGTAATGATTTAAGGCTGGGGAAGGGTGGAGAGGAGGCGGCTGGATGAGAACAGGCGCTGCCTTCTTTATGCAGCAAAACATGCTAAGAACAGCTTTTCTCATTTAAGGAAAAAAAAAAAGAAAAATGGTGTGCCGTCCAAGTGCAGCGGAGTTTTCATCCGTGAATGCGTAAACTGCGAACGCCCGAGGGTGGGCCGCAGAGAGGGATGACGCTGGAAAGCCATCCAGCTTTCCTGACCTACTTGCGTTTCATTCCAGCTAATCCGTGCGCGCTCCGGCACGGCGCAGGGACAGCGCAACGCCGGGAAGCGACCCGCCGATGCCTCCAATGCATCCATCCCTCCATCCAATGCATCCATCCCTCCATCCGCGCATCCACGCTGCCTTAACACCGCGGCCCCTTCCCCGCGGGAGGGCGGAGCGGCGCCGAGGCCCGGCCCTGCCGGCAGAGCGGGGCNGGGCCCGGCGGTCGCCGCCTCCGCCACCGCCCTCTTACCGAGGCTCCGCCCGCCCGCACTGTCTGTCCCCTTCGCCCTTCTGCGGGCCGGCAGATGCACGTAGGCTCGCAGCCCGTCGCGGCTCCGTCCCTTGCTTTTCCCCACTCTTCTTAAAATGCCGGCGGGCAGTCGGGTCCTGGGAGCTGCCTCGGGTTAGCAGCGCCGTTCGGAAGCGTCGCGTAAGTTGAATGTCGGCCGAAAGCCCTGCTTTGGGGCAGGGCCGATCTCCCCCGTTCTGAACAAAAGCGGTGATCCCGGCCCGAGGGTCTCGGGTTGGGGATGATTCCGTGTTCTGCAGGTGCAGGAGGAAGCCGTGAGGGAACACTCGCCCCTGGTTCTTTAAGGAGAGCTCCTCACAGGAAACTGGCAGAAATACGCACCCTGCCTCGGCCGCTTATGTTTGATTTATTTCTCCCCAGGTGAAACACTTCCGACGAACCCTGATGTGTCTCTTTCAATTTTCCGCTAGAAGGTTGGTTTCCCAAGCGCATTGTGGACTTAAAGCCTCGTCTTCAAAGAAACAGAAGTTTTGCTTGGAAATGGCCCGTCCTAGTTCAAGTAAGACGTGTATTTGCTTTAGCACCCCGGACAGGTTTTTAAGGTGAAGTGCTAGAAGGTTTCGTGTGCTAGGTGAAATCCATGGCTTAATTCAAAATGCTTAAAACAGTGTGAAGTTGCTTTTTTTGTCCCCTAGGTAGTAAAATTACCTATGTCTGTGTTCTGTATAGTTCCAAAAGCCCTTGCAGTCAGTATAGTTGCAACATGAATGCGTTTTTAATGTTTATAATTTATGCTCGTAAGTCTGCAATGGTTAATTGCATTTCCCTTTCATAATCCTAATGAGTAATAAAATTAATTCCTCATTCCTTTGTACAAGAATGGGCCTTAAGCATTTGTAACAGCTCAGGAGCTGGGTAACCCCAGGAGCTCTGTTCAGGCCACCCATTGTAGCTTGTTTTGGAGTATTTTGGTTTCGCTTTTCAATGTGAGAATGTGCCTTAACTTGAAAACTGCACACAGGTACAACAGCAACCCCCCTAATGTCGGGTAGCTGAGGCAAACTTGCTTTTTCTGCTGCCTTGAGCATCAGCATTTGGCTGCTGACAGAGATCTGGCTGGGAGGGCTTTTAGCCTGTGCTTTACATATTCGGGCTTGTGAGCTTGGGTTTGCAACAGCAGGTGGGGCATCAGAATAGCAGCGTTCTCTGCCCCATCTGTGCTGTGGGTCTTGGGACCTCTCCAGTGGCTCTTTCTCTCTACAGGAACTTACCTGCCTCTGGGTGGGCTTTTTTTTTTTTTTTTTTTTTTTTTTTTTTTTTTTTTTTGGTGGTGGGGGGAGGTTTGTTTTTTATCTGAAAGCTCACCTAGTAAATTGTGAGGATTGGGGTTGTGGTGAGCAGCTCAAAGTTTAGCTGGAGGCTGCTCACTCATGGGATACTGTAGGAGTCCGTACTGAGGCCAGTGTTGTTTAACACCTCCATTAATGATCTGGACAATGGACCAGAGTGTATCCTTGGCAAGTTTCCACCTAATATGAAGCTGGGAGGAGAGACTGATACCCTAGAGGGTCCTGCCCCTGGGGAGAAATATTCCCAGGCAGCAGGACAGGCTGGGGTGACCAGCTGGGCAGGAATGTCCCTGGGGATCCAGTGGACACCATGTTGGCCATAAGCCACTGATGAGCCCTTGTGGCAATGAAGGCTCCAGGGCATCTTCTCAATGCATAAAAACACCCCATGGTGTTTGTCTGCTGTGAGGGTGGTCAAGCAATGGATTGAATTGTGCAGGAAGGTTATGGAGTCTATCCATGGAGATATCACAAGCCACCCCAAAGGACACTGTCCAGGCCAGTCTGCTCTGGCTGACCCTGTTGAGCAAGACAATCTCCAGGGGTCCCTTCCACCTCAGCCATTTTGCGATTCTAACCTGTGTTGCTTTAAAATTAATATCTGAGGTAAACTGCAAGAGGTCTTTTTTTGTCTGTCTATAACTAACCTGTTCCTTTTTAATCTTGTCTTGACTCACATAAAAAGGCAAAGGAAATTTTACATCTTTTTCCCAAACTACTTTACCATGCAGGGAAAAAGTAGTTTGTGTGGGAATAACACATTAAAAAAACACAGTTGCAAACCTAGAAAACAGGAAAAATGCATAAAAAGAAAACGTGTTTTCTCAATTTACCTTAATTTTGAAGTTGATACTTCATAAAAAAAAACCACAATCAAACAAAACCAACAACAAAACAAATGTATTTTTTTCATCTCAGGATCTTATGTAATAATTAGGAAGCAAACTTTTCCTGGGTGGTGGTGTCAACAGTTGTTATTGGGGTAGCATCTAGTGTGCGGGTTTAATTAAAGGCTCTGCCTTTCCAGTATTGACTGTAATCACATTAGCACATGTTGCCCTACTGAGCTTGCTCAGACACGTATTTTGAGGATCTCCAGGAATTGCCCTTTAAATTCCAACATACAGAAACTCAGGAACCAGTTGGTTTTCCGAAATTAAAGTCATGGGAGGTGTGTATGGAAGTCATTTCTGGACACGTAAGTGTGGCCTCTTAGGTCAGAGTGTGAGCACCTGAGCAGCTCCTTGTTTTCCCTGCCCTGGCACAGACATGGCTGATTTCCGAGAGGTGTTTGCCAAAGCCAAGCACATCGCCATCATCACCGGAGCCGGGGTCAGTGCCGAGAGCGGCGTCCCCACCTTCAGAGGGGCTGGAGGCTTCTGGAGAAAGTGGCAAGCCCAGGTAGGTACTGGAGGCCTGTGCCTGCACAGCCGTGCCTCTGTCTGTCACACAGGTGAGTGTGGAGGGTCAGGAACAGCTGGGGGAGGAGGGTGGAAGATCTCCCACAGCAGTGCAGCAGGGACAGAGCTCTCCCTACAGCTGCCTCTGCAGCTCTTCCCTGTGCCCTTGGGGATCTGCTTCTGTCCTTCTGTTTATCAGTTGCTTGAGAAAAACAACTTTTTTTCAGGCAGCTCTGGGTCTTTCTGCCATCCTTGTTTTCCTGCAGTTCAGCTGTTTGCTCATCTTTTGACACCCTCACTGTTTACCTACCATGTGGGACCTTTCCTGCTTTAAACTCTTAAGAGTTTAAAAACAAACCAAAATACCAAAGGAAGAACTGACGATAGAAACTGGTTGTTTTATTTTGATCTTGGTGTCTCGTAACACCCTTTAAAAATGTATTCGGGCCTGTTTTATTTTGGGGCAGATTCTTTAAGTCTCCCACAGGCTCTGTCTCTTATGCTGGAATGATCTTGCCAGTGCTGGGAGCCACAGGGCTGGGAGAGGAGGTGGGAGCAGACACTGGGAGTACAGTTAAAAGCACCAACAATGTGAATTCTACAAGGGCCTCATGAGTCTTATCCTGCTTTCTTTGTGGTTTTTAATTACAGCATTCCTGAAAGATCTGATGAAGTTGAAAAAGTGTCAGAGAGATGAGTTTTTTAGATTCTTTGACTCTAAAGATGAGTTTTTTGCTTTCATTGACCATCAATTCAAATAAAGCATGTGTGTGTACAAATGCCTGGTCCTGCTGCATCAGAAGCTTGAATTCAGTGTTTCTGTGTCAGCTGAATTGTGCACTGAGGCGCTGGACTGAGCTGCACCTCATTTTTGAGAAATATAAGGCAAAATTAAAGTTGCTGTGAAAAGCAGCTTCAATTTGACCTGCGTGCAAAAAATACAAGACAGACTCTGGTTTTGACAATGGGTGTAATTTGGCTTGTGTTACACTTAAATTAAAGCAGAAAAGAAATCCCTAGCAAAGGAAATATATACATGTGGTGCTGAGTTTTATGGCTGCTGTGGAAAAGAGAGTTGTGGGTGCCAAAAAAGGGTGTGCATTGGAATATCTCATCTTGCTTTGTGCTAAGCTCCCAATAGTTTGGTAGGGCAGCACAGAGTATGGTTGGAGTTTAGTGTGAGCCCACATACCACACTGTTGCTGTGAGTTACTTCCTCTTTTAGTCTGACACTTTGACCAGACACCCTTGTAAGGGCTGTGGAACAAAATTCTTATCAGCTGCATTTGGTTATAAATAATCTGCTTTTGATGACCCTTTGGTGCAGGCAGCAGTATAAATGGCAGAGATCCAGCAAGCTTCATCTGAACATTCTTTTGTTGTAGGATGACCTGTTGTGTCTTTTGCAGGAGCTGGCTACTCCGGGGGCTTTTGCGCGAAACCCTTCCCGTGTGTGGGAATTCTACCACTACCGGCGGGAAGTGATGCTGAGCAAACATCCCAATCCAGCCCACATCGCCATCGCGGAGTGCGAGAAGCGCCTGAGCAAGCAAGGAAGGAGTGTTGTGGTCATCACTCAGAACATTGATGAGCTGCACAGGAAGGCAGGCACCAAGCACCTCTTAGAAATTCACGGTAAGAGTTGGCTCACAGGCCAGGAGACCGGGGTGGGGGAAGAAGGGCACAGGCCAGGAGACCGGGGTGGGGAGTGGGAAGAAGGGAAAGTGGGATAAGTACAGAGACAAAAGAATTTTATCTTTAAAACTATAACTTGCATAAAGTTGTTTACGGTAACACCCTGTTCTCTTTTGGAAGTTGTTTCAGGTACTTCGTAGCCTCTCTTTATTCCTCCCCTTTAGAATTACAGAATCTCATCTTTCTGTTTGTAATGGAATCTGACAGTACACAGGAACTGATTCTCCCTTCTTGCTTGCACAGTTTTCCGCAGATCCACGTGAATTCATGTGGCTGTGACACCTGGCTGATTTCACTTAGAAAAGGGGAAAAGAATCCCCCAGGATTCCACTGTGTGGTAGTACTGGTGTCAGACTGCCACCAATAAAGGGTGTATTGGCAAGCCTGGCCTCACCAGCCCTGGTGCTTTTCCTCTGTCCTGTAACAAATGTTATGTTTTTATTAATGTTACATTCTGTCCTGTCCTCACTTGTGCAGTCCTTGGCAACAGGAGGACAAAGGGACTGGAAACGATTGAGATTCCCTTACCTTTCTTTCCCTTACTTTTCTTTCCGGTCCTTCCCCTCTATTCCCTGTAGTCAGTGGAATTCTTTACTCCCACAAAGTGCCAGGGGAGCACGAGGCAGGTGCAGCACCAAGGAGTCAGTGGGGCTTTGGGATCTGATGAAATTGTAGGTGTGGAGAGAAAGGAGGGTGTGGAAGCACCATTCTTGGAGGTGACCCCACTCATTTCTCTACTTCTCAGGCCCTGCCACAGGGTGGAGGTCTCCCAGGACAAAGACCCATCTTGGTCCTCCAGCATTGTCATGCTTTTTAACTCGAGTATCACTAAAGGTGTAAATGGGATTTACCACCACCACTTTTGTGCTTTGGACATAGGAAACCTGCACAAGCTGTTTCGCAGTTGCGGACCCAGTGATGCAGCCTTGCCAACAGTTTAATTTTGGGTACTTGTATTCCTTACAAAATGGATGCAAATTTTAGTTCTTGGCTATATTGCACATCTTGACAGCATGTTAGTAATGCTACAGAAGTTTTTGAGTTTTGCATGGAACAAAATGTTGTTGACCAGCATATTTTATTTTTTTAAGAAAATGTTTCTGATGTAAGAGGAAAAGCAATAAACAGAAATCATCTTCCTCAGTGATATTTTAAATTTTTCTGAAAAATATGTTATGGGACTGTGTATTACTCATGTCCTGAGGCAGAACAAGGTGACACAGTGGGACTGTCTTTGCTGTTACATTCTGTAGTTACCCACAAGGTACAGCCTCCAAGGTCTGTAAATAAAGGCTGCCCTGGATAAGCACAACCACTTGCCTGCACAGCCACACCTCAGAGCCATCGCTTCATCCCTGATGTTTCCTCTTTGTGTGTTCCAGGTAGTTTATTTAAAACTCGCTGCACCAGCTGTGGAAACGTAGCTGCGAATTACAAGAGCCCGATCTGCCCCGCATTGGCTGGGAAGGGGTAATCCATTCTTTCTTCCACCATTAAAAAAGGAAGTGAGCAGGGGGATGGGCCAGGCATATACTCAAAGAATTTTTAGGATGTTTTTTTCCCTTTACATTTCGCCAGACCTTTAGATAGTTACATAAATAATTGTCGTGCCTTTGACAGTCTTGGTCAGCTTATTACAGTCGCTCAGCTCCAGGATAATTCTGGAAAAATTCCTGCCTGCCTTGTGTGTGGTATTTTTGGATTGTAGTAGGTGTTTGAAGTTGGCTGATGTTGCAAAGTTTTCTTGATTGGAGAGTGTGCTTTAGAGAATATGAAGATTTTTAGAGAATGCTACGTTTTTATTTAAAGTACGTTTTGTACAGCTGGACATGTATTTCCATTTTGTAACTACAGGGCTCCAGATCCTGACACACAAGATGCTGCAATTCCAGTTGAAGACCTTCCTCAGTACGTATGGACCACTTTGTTTGAGCTATTACCTCTTCACGCTTTGTGCACCTCAAAGCTTCGTGTTACTGTTCACGTTGTTTTGGAAGGACATTCCACGGGATTCCACAGGAGACAAAGAACTCTGCTCCAGGAAACTGAGTCTAAAGTTACAGGGGCATCAGACAAGGAGTGTGTAGAAGCTACCATGGTGCTAAAGGCATCGCATGTTTGTGTATTTGAGCACCAAGATGAAGCATGCCCAATTTTGTGGGGTTTGTAGTAAGTGAAATAGTAGGAGAATTGCAGCAAGAAAATGAGTCCTACAGCAGTAAGTGTTTTGTTACTTTGCAGGTGCCACCCACTGTTAGGCTGGGGTACCTCACAGGCACAGAATGTGCCGGCCAGTTAATTAAAGCTGATGGAGGCCGAGTTTTAACTTTAATGCATTTCAGCTGAGTAAGGGGAAGGCACAATTAAGTATCTGTGCTGAACAACTGTTCAGCAACCCCTTCCATGGGATCATGCAGTACACGTGTACTTCCAGCATGTGTGTACCATGGAATGAGCTGCCTTCTGTCCAGCAGCACAGGGTAGAGGAGGGTGTGGGGAGGGCTGTGAAGGAGGAGAGAGAATGATGGCAGGTGAGACCTGCCCAAGTGAGAATGAGAACTGCTTTGCCCTTCCGCAGCATAAAGCAGCCCGTCAGCAGCGTGACGCTGTCCTGTTGTGGTGTTTGAACAGGTGTGAGGAGGACGGCTGCAAGGGGCTCCTGCGGCCCCACGTCGTGTGGTTTGGCGAAGCCCTGGATCCCGGCGTGCTCACGGCAGTGGAGAAGGAGCTGGATATCTGTGACCTCTGCTTGGTCGTGAGTGGTGCTTTCCTTTACCTGTCCTCTGAACCAGCAGGGAGGCCACGCTAAGGATGTGGCACCTCCTGGCTGAAGCAGATGCATCTGTGCTTCCCTGAGGGACCTAAAAGCCCCAGAGGGACTCTCCAGTGTCCAGTGCGAAACATTAAAAGACCTTGCAGTTTGAAAATGTACACACATTACTCTGAAGTCAACAGGTACACAGAGGTTAGAGATGACACAGTGTTGTTTGGCTGTTGAATTTCACTCCCCCTCTATTCTGCTCTGGTGAGACCCCATCTGGAATCCTGTGTACAGTTCTGGTGCCCCCAGCATAAGGACATGGAACTGTTGGAGCAAGTCCAGAGGAGAGCCATGAAGTTGATGAGGGTACTGGGAGCACCTTCCCTATGAAGACAGGCTGAGAGAGTGGGGATGTTCAGCCTGGAGAAGGGAAGGCTCTTGGGAGACCTTAGAGCAGCTTTCAGTACCTTATGAGGCCTGCAAGGAAGCCAGAGAGGGACTCCTCATCAGGAACAAGGGGTGATGGCTTTTAACTTAAAGAGAGTGGGTTTAGATTACATACAGGAAGAAATTCTTTACTGTGGATGCCCCATCCCTGGAAGTGTTCAAGGCCAGGTTGGATGGGGCTCTGAGCAACCTGGTCTAGTGAAAGGTGTCCCTGCACATGGCAGAGGAGTTGGAGCAAGACGATCTTCAAGGTGTCCCAATCCAAACCATTCTATGATTCTAATTTCTCAAACAGTGAAAAATACAATTATTTTGATGCACAGTTTAAAAAGAAAGTAAGTTATAATGTGGTGCTTTTTTGCAAGGTGGTTTATATGCCACTTAGGTTCCAGATCCCTAACCAAAACACTTGCTTAGACTGTTGTCTTCCATTTACAGAATGATCTCAAGTAACAGAAGGAACATTTTGTTGGGTTTTTATTTTTCCTCAAGATGAAGTGTACCATTTTGTTTCTTGGATGTTTTTTCCATCTCCAGTTACAAACGGGTTTCTTTGAGCTGCATCAGAGAAACAATTCCTGATTGTTACACTCAGTTAAATAGCTACATCTGCAGTGACACTAGTCACAGATACTGACTCGGTTTAATTTCTGTAGGGATTTCCCAGGCTTCAGTGCACATGCAGTGTTGTGAGAAGGGCTCTCAGCTCGGGGCTGGGTTGGTTTGCTCTGTTTGAGCGCTGTCCTGCTACCCTGGTGACTTCTGTCCCGCTGCCCGCAGGTCGGGACCTCGTCCGTGGTGTATCCTGCGGCCATGTTCGCCCCGCAGGTCTCGGCCAGAGGGGTCCCAGTCGCGGAGTTCAACATGGAAACCACTCCAGCCACCAACAGGTTCAGGTAACGCTGCCCAGGCAAACAGCCTTCAGTCCCCTCCACCCTGCCCTTTGCATCCAGCTGCTGAAACAATGGGTTTAGACAAATACGGGCTAGTTTCATCCCCAGCGCTTAAGAAATACTAAGTTTCTGTTAGTAAGTAAAAAAAAAAGTTTTCTTCTTCCATGGTGGAATTTTCACTGAAGACACAAACCGTATTGTTTAAAGGGTGAGGCTGGAGACTGTCCCTACGCCCTACAAAGCCTAAACCCCTCTCTCCTCCTCATCCCTCCCTCCCGTCTCCCTGCCAGACTCGCCAGGTAAAGCAGCGAGCAGCGGGATGCTCCGGTGGCTGCCAGCGCCCTAAACCTGCCGCTTCCTTCCAGGTTCCACTTCCCGGGCCCC